GTCAAAGAAATGTATGACTATCAGGGAAGGTCCTATCTTCACATACCTCAGGATGTTGGTGTTAATCTCCGGTCAGCTGTGCCACCTGAGAAGTGTTATCTCCCAAAAAAACAAATCCATGTGTGGTCAGGGCACACAAAGGTAGGCAAGTTGGTGGTTTCTATTTCATGTGATGTTACAGTGGTGAAGCCAATGTAAGTTTTAGTTACTAATATGGAACGTTCAATATTTCTGGTAAACATGATAGTGCAGGGAAGTAAAACTGAAGATAAACCAGAGTTAGGCTTTGGAGTAAAATGTTTATGAAGGAGGAAGATCTACAAGGCGATGCATGGACATAGTGACTGTAACAGTAGGTTCAAACACAGCAGCAGTTTCCTTCTGTTGTATATAATATTGCTGTGAGTCAGAGCTGACTTGATGACACCTAACAGCAGGCTTTGGAGGTTTCCACGCTGATCAGCAAAGACAAATCAATCCGTCTTCAAGGCCAGTTAGGTTAGCCATGGCATAAGCACTTATGGTTCAGTATTCAGTCCTCTTATTGCAACCCAAGCTTTTCCCTGCAAGAAATGCTGCTTCTTGGGCACCAAGTCATTGAATAAGTGTACTACAGTCAAACTCCCTGCTTTGCCTCAGTAATTGTGCCTTAACTCTTGGCACTTCGCACACTTCAGAAATCAATAGATACTACCTGGTTTATGAGCAGGGTTCAGAGCTGTTGTACATAGGGTCGCTATGAGTCAGAGTCAACTTGACAGCACATAGCAACAACAATCTGGTTTATAAACTATAGTAATAGTTCAACTGTTGCATAAACAGGAATCTTGAGAACTTGAAATTTATTGTTATTTGCAAACTTTCAACTGATGGATTTCAGATCTTTGCACAGCAATATCAAATCTATTGAAGAAGCTATGTGGGGGAAAAGGAACAGGAGTGGGAACTCTAGCAGTGTGATTGGTTCTCTGCTCCCTTTGGTGAAAAAGTCAGTAGTAAGAGTTTAAAAAGCCATCTGCAAAAGCTCAGTGTGCAAGGCTGTTATTTGAATGTTAATGAAGGATATTCTGGGGCATGATTATTGGAATGAAGAAAATATAAAATGAGTTACTTAAAACTGTTGTTATGTACCATCAAGTCAGCTACAACTCATAGTTACCCTAGGAACAATGGATCCAAACCTTAAAAACATACTGTTTTAAAAGAATATATTCTTGTGCTTTATTGTAGCTGATAAGTAGAGGGTTTCTGATGGATAACTAGAATACCTTTTTCTAGGGCGTCAGTGCTGTCAGACTGTTTCCTGTCTCTGGCCATTTATTGCTGTCTTGTTCCATGGACTGTAAAATTAAGGTGAGTTTTTCAGTATGGAATAAAAATGCTGCCAAACAGGTAATTTGATTTAAACTGGTCAGATTGTTATAAATTAATTTGGCCTTGTTAGATAATTAAAGCTGATTAGTTTCACTTAGAGCTTGTGAATGCAACAATTTATTAAATACTTCCAAGCATGTATGAAATACATATTCCAAAGTTCTTTTATAAGTTTAGTTAACTGACTAGAACATAATTTAATCACTTTGGCTTTGTTGATTTTGTTGTTATATACCATGGAGTTGGAACTGACATACAACTGAGGCTGTAGTTGGTTTTCAGAGGCTGTAAATTGCATGGGGGGTGATTGCCCGTCCTTCTCCCTCAGAGCAGCTTGTAGATTTGAACCACATTTTTGGTTGGCAGTACAATTCCTTACCAATAAGCCACCAGAGCTCTCTTGGCTTTAGACATGTTCTCCCCCCAATAATGATTTTTGTTGCAATTTTGGATGTAGAATTGATTCTTTATAACCTTGTAAGATAGAAAAGACACAATAAAAATACCATTTTTAGAGAGTAGATGCTTGAGTGTTAGTGTATTTGTTGTTGTTTTTCCCTTTTTTTGTGTTTTGTCATTGTTGTTGTTCCAGGACATAGTATTCATAAGCAGCAGAACCTGACTCAGAAGCCGGATCTTCTGACTGCTCATCTCATATGTCTTGCTGCTACTTTCAGCATTCATCTAAAATGGAATAGATGATTAGGATGGCTCAGGATAGGATAGGGTTCAGGCCTGTTTTTCATAGGATAACTATGAATCATACTCATTTCGACAGCACCCAGCAACAACAGGCTTAGTTACTGACATTGCATGATAGAATGTAGACAGTAATTTTCTATTTGTAGTGGAGAGCCCTACAGTTTCCCAGAAGTAATTCAGAACTGTCATAACAGAGGGGTGTTCAACCACAGAAGCTTTATTTCTCTTGTTAAAAAGAGAAATTTTCAGGTAAGGCTCACTTAGTAAAAAGGTTCCCACTGCTTTAAAATATGAAGTACGAGTATGAGGGAACAAACACACACACACACACACAAATATGGTTCCCATTGCTTTAATGTGAATTACAAGTATTGGGAGAAACACAAATACACACACACACACAGAGAAAACAGAAACACCAGTCATGTAGGACTAAATCTTTATTTATTTCTTAAAATAACTTAGGTTTTTGCTACTTTCACTTTTTTTATGCATAACAATGACAAAACATCTTTGACATAATGTTTGTATTTGGTTTTTGTTTCCTGCACCCATTTTAGCTTTTAGCCCACCCAAATTTGAGGCTTTTAAAAGCTTCAGATCAAAAGTCTTTAAAGGTAGTTTTGCTGGCTTAGTGGCAAGGAACTGGGCTGCCACCCCAAAAGTCTTTAAATCTCTGTTGGCATTATACTGAAGAATTCCTGTGTTCTCTCTCCACTTTTATTAATATATTAAAACAGTAATATCTGGTTTTTTTCTTGCCTGCTTATTTGTTAATACTATACCAAAATACAACATATTGATTATTACTGGCTTGAATTTTCTTTTAATTCGTGTTAATGATTAATATTTACTATAATTGCTCAGTTACCTTTCTTTATATGGATTAGTCTGTTATTATTGCTAAAAATGAATAGTTATTTTTCTCTTATTGTCTGAAGATAAATCACATTGTGAAATTTATTCATCTTAATAAGAAAGTATTCAGAGAAAAATACAGTTTAGTATAATAATATACCCAGGGAGCTCTGGTGGCCTAGTGGTAAAGAGCTGCCAACCCAAAAGACACATGGTTTGAATCCCCCACCTGCTCAGAGGGAAAAAGATGGGCAGTTTCCTGTGCAGTTACTGCTTCTGAGAACCCACTGGAGGTACACCTATGAGTCGGTTCCAATTCAACAATATGTAACTATAACAACAAGAATAATATAAATGATCTCACAAAACACAGATTTTTAAGGGAGCTCTGATGGCCTAGTGGCAAGAAGCTGCACTGCAATCCCAGAGGTGTGCGGTTCAAATCCATTAGATGCTCTGCTGGAGAAGGAGGGGCAATCTCCTCCTGTACCAGTCGGATCTGATTTGACAGTACACACACAAAATAATTTTAAAAAAAAATACAGATTTTTAAAAATATTTGTCTTTTCTGTTTCCCTTTTCTTAATAATTTTAGTATTTGTTATTATGAATAGCTGATACTTTCTTCCATACTATTGAAATTTTTAAAAAGATAGCAAGCTTAACATTTCTAAGAGTTACTGTAATAATTTTAAAAATTATACTTTATTTCTTGGGTCCTGAGTAAATCTGGAGTGCAGAACCCAAGTTTTACTTATTGTCATGTCTGCTTATTGTATAATTCTCTTTTCCTTCTTAGTACCAGTAGATATTAAGTGGCAGAAATATTCTCCATCCCTTCTGACAATTCTTATAGTCTTGGGACGCCCACATTTAACATCTATTCCATTGCAGATGGAAGGGTGGTAGGAAAAACCCAGCTGTCAGTACATGTCAACTTGAAAATGGGGAAAATCTTTATAAAATCTTACAGTTCTTATTGTTGTATGTCATCTTTGGACTGTTTGTTCAGTAAACATCAACCCTGTAGTGCTCTTGGGACTTAGAAAGTGGAATCATTAAAGTTTTATCTTTTGTAAATTATTCACAGTTTTTAGCATTACATAAGGGCAGATTCTTTTGATAAGAGCAATCATTTAGGTATTTATCCCTGGTAGCCTAAAATGACAAGCCAATAATTTAGAATAAAGACCTTTATTTCTTTTAACTTCCCTTTTACTTACCATCTTATTTAAGGTTAAGGTCCTCTCTTTGACAAATTTTTTTTAAAGACACCTAAAATTCATTTTTATTCTTGTATATGAACATTTATTGAGTGATAGTTGTGTGCAAGGAGCTAGAGATAAAAAATTATTATGATATTGTCCCTGTTCTTGGGATACTCATTCATTATAAGTGATCATTCCAGAGGCAGGCACAGATACTCCGATTTTAAAGAGGAAATGCACTCACCCCGCCTGAGTGTTAAAAGGGAAGTGATCCTCTGGATGAGTCAGAATATTAACTCAGTGACGGGTAGGGGAGGAGAAGAGGGGCAGAGGGCAGAGCATGGTGTATGTGGAAAACAGCATACAGTTTTTTTGTTGCTCGAGGTCTAAAATCTTAGAGATACAAAATAGCTGAAGTCATAGGCAAGAGTCATGCCTTGCCTACAATAGCACAAGACCTGAGCCCTTATGCTGTTGGTGCTGAGTGTCCATTGAATGCTTTGTATTTTAGAGCTCTAGCAACATTGTAAGATACTTTATCTGAGGCACGGAAGACTAAAGGTAATTTTGAAGATGTTTTATTAATCTGCTCTAGGTATAATGAGTATTGTAAGCCTGATATATTTCAGACTAGATCACCATGTTCATAGAGTAGAATGCTTGTTATTTCAGAAAAGTTAAATAAAAACCAAAACCTCCAGTATCAAAGGTTATATACATGGCCATTTTAGTAATTACTCCTTTTAAGGGCAATTCATGGCATTGTAAAAATAGAAACTTTTCATCATAGAAAATATATAATATGCAAAAAAAATGTTTTAAAAATCATATGTTTTATTTCCACCCACAGATAAGCTTTCTTGGCCTTCCAATATTATCTTTCAGTATCAGATTTTTAAGCTGAGGTTTAATATATGGTTCGCGTGCCCATGGTATAATACCTTGTCAGAATTAGCAATATATTTAATAATGTGCAGTTCCGTACCTTAAAACCCTGGTATAGACACAATATGAGCACATACTGTCAGCCTGTGACTATTGTTACTGATTGAATGAGATAATTTTTCTGAAATCTTACATAATATCATTTCCATATGCTTTTTTCCCCCCAGCTGTGGGAAGTTTATGAAGACCGGCGCTGCCTCCGAACATTTATTGGTAATACTTCTTTTCTCTCTAACTAGAATCTGTTTGGGAAGACTTTTTCTAACTAAATATAGTCACTAACAGGGATTTTCCAACACTAACATGAAGTTTTCATTGACTTGAGTTGAGTCTTGAAGAGTGATTAGATTTCTCTAGGTAGACAAAGGGGGGCTTGAAAAGTATGAACAGAGGGAAAAGGACACATCGAGTGAGAAAACCCCATATACTCCATAATCATCAGAGATTTGGTAAAGAACAGGTTTGGTGAGAGATGGTGGAGAAAAGTAATAAATGGGGATTGGAGTATTGGGACATTATAGGGAGTTTGGACTATATTCAAGGACAGTACATCACCATTAATACCGGAAAAGCAACATGATCAGATTGAAAGTTACAAAAATCATAATGAACATCTGGAAGAGGCACTGGTAGGGCAGGCCTGGAAGCAGAGAAATTCATTACAAAGTCATTTTTCATTGTTTAGTTTTTTTCATTGTCTGAATTAGAAATTATAAGAGCCTGAACTAAAGCATTAGAGAGAGAGAGGAAGTAACAATTCAAAATTAGAAATCAGTGGGATTTAGTAACTGGATGTGATAAGAGCCAGGCAGGAATCTGGGATGACAGCTCTTGTCTGGATGAATGGCGATTCCATTCACCAAGTTAGGTGACTTCACAAGATGAGGGGAGGTTTTTTTCTCATTGAATGTGATCTGCCTTCGGCATATTGAGTTGAAAACATCCAGTATGCTATTATTGGTATCTAGATGTCAGGCTTGGGAGAAAGATTGAGACTTGGCAGCTAAAACATGGAAAAAGGTGAGTTTTGGAAAACATGAGGGAGAAAAGAGGGTCAGAGAGAGGAGGATCTGTGACAGACTAGACTGTTTGCTAGAGAATTATTATCTTTGTCAAATTTCCTTTGAAGACCAGTTGTTTCCAGATAGAACGTAACACATTAAAACTCTTAATTGTGTGAATCATACAATGGCTTTGTTTTTAGCTTTGCTGTGCTTTGAGGCCCTCCCTGCACAAATAAATAATGCACAGCAGCCAAGAGGAAGTGTTGAGGAAGACTCCCAGCTGCCCTCAGGGGAGCAGCATGTCTCCTACACGGTAGTGGACAGTGGACATACTCCGCATCTCCCTGCCCTGAGAGACCATTTTTCTAATGTATAAGAAATATTATTGCTACTCTTCACTGGGATTCCTATAGCAGAAAACACTGCGTAATTGCAGTGATGTGTATTGCCAACTAGAATTGATAGACAGTAGTAGTGGTTGACGGCTACCCAGCATGGTTGACCGCTTGTTCCATGCAAATTTTATGTAACTGTAAATGATATCTTAGTCATTGTGGAGGTGTTAAAAAATAGGGAAGTTTCTGCTTTTATTAAGCCACATTTTATTTATCCCTGTAATTTTTTTAAAGAGTTGACTGGTTCTGATGATTGAGTTCAAAGTAAAACATAGTCTGCATATTGAGGTTTATTGTGAAAATGCCATCTTACAGTAAAATAGAAGCTAATACTTGTTCTCAGAAAGGTTGAATAAGTTCTACTTTTTCTTTTGGCCTAAATATTACATATTCGAACTGTCTGAGGAGCTTTTCAATGGTAGAAATACCAAACAAAATCACCTTCCTGGGCCTAGACAGTCAGTTAGGAGGTGGGGTTCCAGTGATTTCTGGCTTATAGCCTGCTTGAGGGCTGCTGTTTAATGCCTTTTCCTTTGAGTGTTTCTGTTTCAGAAGAGTCTTCATCTACCTTCACTTTTTTTGCCCTTAGGTCACAGTAAAGCTGTTAGGGACATCTGCTTCAATACGGCAGGAACCCAGTTCCTCAGCGCAGCCTACGATAGGTATCTTAAGCTCTGGGACACTGAGACAGGTAAGAGCCTCTACTAGTTCTGATACATCTTTATCTTAAAAGTTAGCACTTATAAATGAGCAGGCTTTTGTGAACAAGTAGTACTCTACTGATGTTCATTCCTCAGATCATCAGCTTACATCACAGAATGTTTGTGGAGTTGAAACTGGGCTCTATTAAGTAGGCCTTTCACTGTGGAACTTTCTACCAAATACAGTGTATAAATATGTGAATGGACAAGCAAAATTTTAATTCCTCTGTAGATTATCTAATTTATCTTTTTCATCCTCTCCATAGCACAGAATGGAAAAAACACAATAAATGTCTGATGAGCAGAATTAATTGTTCAAGTTGGTTGAAATGTAGTGCTAATCCTCAATAGACTTGTTGGCTTTCTATACCCACAGCAAAATTAATTGCATTTGTTTTCATTTTAATTAATTAATTAGTTAATGCTGTTTCTCTTGGGTGTGTTGAGATGCAGTGAGTGTTTGTGTTATTTGTTGTGGCTGATATGACTTAATATAATTAGAAAACTTGATTTTATTTTTTTAAGAGTACTGATACTAGCTATTCTATATTTAACAGTTTTTACCAGGCATTCTTCTAAAGAAATACTTTACTCTTTTTTTCCCCCCTTCAGTCTTCTTTATTCATTATCCTAACTCAAATGTCTGTGAAACAGTTGACAATATCATGGTTTGGGTCAGGTGTGCCTTAGTCTTTAAAATTGTATCTTTTCTAATTAGGACTTGAAAGAAGTCCTTGGCAGCAGATTATTTTTTTTGTTTTGTTTTGTTTTTATCCCCCTCCCCAGATTATTCACAGTGCAATGTTTTTTTTAATTTATTTTTAATTTATTCATTGTTGCCCATTTTCTCCCCCATTGTCCCCCTCCCCTCACCCTATCCTGCAATGATAATGAATACTGCATTAGAACAGATGAGAGGAAGAACTGTTTGAAAGGAATATATTATTGTACATTATATGGATGAGAATAATCTGAAGAAATACCTTTAAGTATTATCTCATTTAGTCTTTCATGGAACTTTCCTCCGAACAATAGACAGGCTGGTAGGATGAATAATAACAGCCAAGAGCGATGTCCTCCTTAGAACAATCAGTCATCCAAGATCAAAAGAGCAGCATTTGTCCAGGGATAAAACTCATCAGGCAGGAAAAGATTGGCTAGAAGGACAAATGGAAATGAGAATCATAGGGAAGAAGTAGGAAGTTGCTGTTGCATTGAGGAAATTGCAATTAAAGACATAAAATTTTTATGAATGGTTGAGTGGAAAATCAATTGTGTCTGTTAAGCTTTGACTCAAATTGCAATTAAAAAAAATGCCATCAAATCAATTCCAGTTCATAGCAACTTTATAGAATAGAGTAGAACAGTTTTAACTGCCTCTGAAAACCTGCCAGAGGGCTAGCTAGGGGTCAGTTCCAATTTGACAGTAAACAAAAACAAAGTAAGTACATCTTTTATTTTTATCCATCACCAAGATCAAGGTGTCACACATTTCCAGCACTCCGTAAGGCCCTTTCCCTCTCTGTATCTACTCCCGATAACCATTGGCCTCACCTCTGTCATGATTTCATTTTGCTTGTTCTTGAACTTCCTATATAGAGAAGCATACCATATGTGCTGTTTGGTTTCTAGCTTCCCTCACTGAATATATTCTGTTGTATGAATAAAATACACTAATTTAGCTATCTCTACAATTGATATAGCTCTTTAGTATATTACATTAAAGAGCAAGCAGGCTGCCTTTTTTTTCAGAATTTTATTATATAGTTGGTCTTACCCTCTTAACCTCAGGGTCACTTAAAGGGCTCAGATTTATATTTACTTATTTAACCTGTGTCTTTGGTTTTAGGGCAGTGTATATCAAGATTTACAAACAGAAAAGTACCATATTGTGTCAAATTTAATCCCGATGAAGATAAGCAAAATCTGTTTGTGGCTGGGATGTCTGATAAAAAGATTGTGCAGGTAAGCCTTTTCATATTGGTTTTCATTATGGTCTTGAGCCTTGTGTTGTTTCATGGGATAGGATATGGAATATTAACTTGTTTGATGATTCTTATTTATAGCAACCACTGCTCTTTTTATCTGTCAGGAGAAAATAGTAAATCTATAAAAATATGTTGTTGGTGATGTTTCCCCTCCCCACTTTCCAGAATTATGGTCATTGTTGGTTTTCATCAGTCACCTCTGATCCTGTCTTTACTTTCTCTTACTTGTTACATAGTGGGACATTCGAAGTGGAGAAATTGTGCAGGAATATGATCGGCATTTGGGAGCTGTCAACACCATTGTTTTTGTTGATGAAAACCGGAGATTTGTAAGCACATCTGATGATAAGAGCCTAAGAGTTTGGGAATGGTGAGTTTCTATGGGTAAAAAAATCTGCTTTATTTCTATAAAGGAAGCTTTGTCAACCAAACTCAGTTAGTATGCCACAAATTGAATATTCCTCCAGCTGTGATCACCAGCTTCCCAGTGTTTAAACTTAAGTATGCACAATATAGAAATAAATTTTCGTTTTACTTTATTTTCTTAGTCTTTGAATAGTCTGTCCAGAGGATATGTATGTAGGTTTTTCTTGAGGTGGTTTGTATTATGCTGCCTTACAGTCTTTATTCATTATCTTACACATTGTTACAGAGTGACTGACAAGAAGCAGAGGCACAAGTGGACTATCTTGGTTACTCTAGGGATTAAGTGTCAGGGAACCAATGAAAAGAAAATATTAATAAGTCTTTTAATATTTTAAATGTCTTCTTTATATTTACTTAATACTAAAAATTACTCCGTAGTATAACTCATAGAAAACACATGTCTTGTTTGTAGAATATACAAACAGAACATGTTCATTTTGCTTTCCTAGGTGAGGGAAAAATCCTAGTTTTATAAAACTTTTTTCGTTAAGTATCATAGAACACGTTTTATAAATTAGTTGCCATCAAATGCATGGTGAACCTTTCATTATAGTGAAAGTTTGGCTGGATCCCAGCTTGTTTTTCTATACAGTCTGTTACGAATATAAAGTCTGTTATGAAGTGCAGCTTAACGGTGTTGATAGCCTTTCAGAGACTGAAAAGTGTGTCCACCGCATAAGCAGTCCTGCTTTACGAAGTGGGAAGCCTTCCACTGCCAGCAACTTCCTCTTCAAACTGGGTCACTTTAGGAAGTTGAGCAGGTCATAGCTGTACCTAACCATTATCAGTGCAGTTTGAGAAATCAAAAGTTAAATGTAATTTAACTGGTTTCTCTCACATTATCCACCATTGTAGCACCCCTATAAAGGACTCCAATCAACTAGTGGAGAACTGAACACATTTAATATCTTGTCTTTACATACAGCATAAACCTCAAGGTCCATGGTTGAATGGACCTTAATTCCAAAGAGTCTAGTTTAGAATTAAGATCCTTCGTTGAGTTGGAACTGACTCATGGCTAGTCCTCCTATTGGGTTTTCAGAGGCAACAAATTACACAGGGGAAGATTGCTCATCTTTTTCCCTCAGAGCAGCTGGTGGATTCAAACCACTTGCTTTTTGGGTTGGCAGCATCATAACTCCTTACCTACTAGGCCACTGGAGTTCTTCCTTTTCTATAAGCCACTTTATATAATTTGCATAATAGCCTGTAGAATAAGCATACAGTTGTGTTATGTTGATCCTACTGTTTAGTATTTTATCCCTAAAATTTCATAGATTTCTGGTAGTTTTGCTGATAAATTAATTTCCAAATTGATGATTATTTATGAGACATAAGTGTAAACTTTATATATAGAATTATAGTATCTTAATTAGAAAATAGTGTTCTGTTTATTAAAAATAATTCTGCCTAGAAAACGTTTTTGCTAGAAGCACTGAAGTTCACAGTGTAGTTTAGTGTCATTTCTTATCGAAAACTTGTACCAAGAGTCCTTAGAATGAAAAGTTTCTTAGAATTTGTTTTCAGTAACACATCGGTTACTATGAACCTGACTACAGTTAACTTCATTTAGAAATGCTTTATGTTTTTAATAAATGTGCTAAAACTATTTTGCATTAAGCAGAAACATAAGGAAGGAAAAACAATTGAACCTTTTTCAGGTTAAAATCTCTCTAATTACTTTTGGGTCATTCAAATGCCGGTTCCTATTGAAACCCTTGTCCACCAGGTTATTTCTGCCTGAATTTTTTTTATTATTATTATTTAACCAAGACCCTGAAGTTATTCCTAATCATTTGTTCCTGCTGAATGAGACTTCTGTGTACATGAATGGAAAAAATCCTTACATAAAAGCAAATATTACTGTTAATGTTATTTTCCAATATATCAAAGTATTAAAACTGAAAGCTTATTTTGAAATAGAAATTGCTGCTTGCTTCATACTCTGTATTATTTATCATATTAGACTTCCTACACATTTTTTTCGGAGGGGGGGAAATCACTTCTTATTTATAGTAATAAGACCAAAAATCCTTTTGGAATTGCAAAGAACTAAGGTCTCTGGGTTGTGCAGATGGTTTGCACTCAGCTGGTAGTCAAAAGATTAGTGAACAAAGTCCATGCATTGTCACCTCTGAAGAACTAGACCTGTCAGTTGACTTTCATAAAAATTACAGCCAGCCCTACTCCATAGCCAGTGGGTTCTCTCCTAAAGAATATTTCAACAAACACACAAATTAACAGCAGTAGAAGGAAGATACTAGACCAAAAAAAAAATTATCTTAAATATTAAGTAGAAAAATAAATATTAAAACTAAGTAATGCATAGAAAATTAAGTAATGAGCATTTTCAGTGGTTTGATATTTAGGTGATTAGTTTTCAATTTTTATTTGATGTTTTATATCCTCACATGGAAGAATATTTTAATGCTTTTCCCCCCTTATACTGTATATATTTTTAATATTTTTCATGCAAAACTGAAACTAGAAGCTGTCTAGGTGTCAAGCAAGTCATCTTCCTAAGGTGATGATTCTAAATCAGCCCACAGATCCTTCTACGATCCTTCTATGCCCGCTTCTTTCATATTGCTGACTGCCCTTCCGCCCTCACCACTCAGTGCAGAGAAAAGACAAGGTTGACTGGTAGTTAATAAAGACTGCCTCCTCTAGACCTGCCTCAGATATCTTAGTCCTACCCACCATGATACTTTTTTTTTTTAATTTAGGTTGTTTATTTTTCATTTCAATGAACATCTACAGAGATTTTGGGATTCCATTCATTCATTGTTGCACCCTTCTCCCCGC